ACCTGTAAGCTACATATGACAACATTAAATTAGCTAAACTACAAAGGCTCAATGTCACATTCATTAGTTTTAAATAATGAGCATGTAAATGAAGGCATCTGAGCGTAATCCAAAGGGAACCATGGATGACTCTTCTTGTCACTGAATCAATTATAGATAATTATCATTACACATTCTGAGGGGAAACCACAGACACACCCAAGCATTGTTGTGAGAAAATGAGTTATTGATGCAGAGTATTCAACGCAGTGGTCTGAGAATAATTATTGTCATTAATGTCTGTACGCCAAAGTGGTTGAGAAAAAACTTAAAGAAAGGCCTGCGGAGCAACCTGGGTTGAGACAATATAATCATCCGTAACAAGAGATGGAGAATTGCTCTTCTCCTGAATTCTGAAGCAGCTTGTGAGAAGAATTTGATCATAACATACCTGCTGGGATGCATGAACAGCTGGTGAGTGAGACCGAAGAGCCAGGGCAAATTTGAGAAGATTAACTTGAAGATCTGTGAGGAACTGACCAGCCTTCTTTATGACCAAGTTATAGTAGGAGCGCACAGACTCTGCAAGACAGATCAACATTTGTAATAGTGAGGCTTTGGAAACGAGAACACCACCTCTTGTGGTGCAAAATTATTTATAATCTGTTATCATATTTCTGAAGTCAAGCCTCGGTTGTGATAAACTTACCTCCTTGCTTGTAGACAGTGAGTTCTTTCACAGTGTCGACAAACTGCCAGAATTTTTCATTCCCATCTTCTCCAATGAATTCACTGCAATTGAGAAAATGAAGTTATTAGTCAGCATTAGTAAATAACCAAAGTATGTAAGCAAGCAGCCATTTTTGACTGCCCAACCACATAATCATATTCGATTTTCTAGCAATAATCGTCTCCAGTCTTGTTGGCTCCATAGTGTCTATGTAAATGACCACACTGGCCTTACAGTCATGCAGTACAACAAAGTTTCTGAAGGTTTCATCAAGAATATTTCAAAACTTTTCTAGACCATAATAAAGGAAATTGAATATGTGGGCCAAGTACAACAGATGTGAAGGAAGATCAGTCCCAGAATTACTTAATTGAAGTTATGATGAATTAGTGGAGTAGAGAATTACCTTTGAAACGCCACATTATCTAACAAGTGTACCCAGACAAATTCTGACCAAGGTGGTAGTAGATTACCAGCTCCATGTCTATCTTATTTGTAGTTTTATGACAGCGCATTAATATCTGTACCATTGAGAACTATGTGCACACCACCTAAACATTTTCTTGTAAAAAGAAAAGTCACTCTAAAGCACAACAAAAGAAATTGTGAATGAACTTTAACATGATCAATACCTGAATGTACTATTTAATAATAAAACTTTTGCCCCTTTGCAAGGCTCCAATAACCCACTGGTTATTCACATCATTATTCAGAAACAACAATGCATTAATTTACAGTCAATGAGTGATAATTAGGAGGTAATATAAGGAAAAATCTTAATTCATGGTGTAATAGAGGTAGAATAAGGTGTTAATACTTGCTTAATAATTGCTAATAAAGGGCTAGTATGCAACCTCTATGCATATTAGTAAGCACCTAGTTAATGGCGAATATGTGTACCTTAATAGAAAGTGTTACCAAAATGACATCCACAAAGATATAAGAAATCTAGGTAAAACAGATTTAAACATATCAAGGTAAATTTAAATTTTGAACTTTTAAAAACCCGGCAGAAACTCTGTGTATATCATGTGTTAATGAACACAAAGTCTAATAATATTAGAAACACGGATTAGTAATTAACAGTGTTAATGATATAATAACTTCCAACTGAGACAGCAGCACCTCATTACAGAAACAATACCGGGATGTCTCTGGATATTCCACATCCAATTACTCCAAGATGTAAAGTTTCCATTGGAGCTACAGAAGAAGCTGTCTGAGGAAACCTTCCCTCCAGCAGCAACCACTCAACCACTAATTGAGCACGGGCCCCCACACAGCCCTGTTTAGTACAGATGACGACGAGTTACCTTGTCTCCAGGAGGAAAGGCGTCATGCTCCATTTGGCTCTCAGGCTGGCAGTGACTCCCTTGGGTGCAGCGGTGACATGATGTATGTTCAGCAGCAGCAGCGACAGCACAATAACAGTCCTCATGATGTCCGGAGCGACGTGTCATGAGCCTGCGGAGAGAAGCGGCACACCGGGGGGTCAGCACGGTCCCTCTGTGCCCTCTGAGAGCCAATGCCACGTAGTTACTGTGAGTTGTTATCAGAACACACAACACTGCTGCGCGTTGACGCGTGTGTGTGGAAATATATTCAACAAATCATTTAAAACTTAGAATTGCAAACACGCCGCTGAGGAAGCTGCAGGAGAGAGAAACGCGTCGAGGCGACAGACAGACGTGATTTACGTTGAGTAGCGTTCAAATCAAAGTTAACTTTAACCGTGAATCAAAACGTTACGTTACACCAGCGGGATTTAACGAAACAAATATGGCGTGTTAAATAACAGTGTGAGTAGGAGTACAGAGCAAGTTTCCAATAATAAACCCCTCACCCCAAACTGATGCTGGCCGCTTCCATACAAAGCAAAAGCTCCAGGTAGATATTTTGGGAAAGCTAACGGGCTAACCGGTGCAGCTAGCTAGCGGCCGGCCAATCAGGGTGGCTGAAGCTGGCCGGTACTCAAATATGTAAAAACTTCACCCTGTAAAACAGCGCATTGTGTGTAATTGTTTTCCGGCACAGTTTTTCACATTATATTTATATTCAGAGTGAGTATATGTGATAATAATTAAATAAAAACGTGACGCTAAAGTGGAATTTTAATCAGGCACAGCGGCAGACAGCTAAAGAGACTGAAGCTGAAGCTGTAGTGACGGTGACTGAAATGTTTGAACTCTTTTTAACAACATGGAAATGAGTATAAACACAATTTAAGTCTACGCATATCATTTATCTGCATTAACAATGACTTTATATGCCAAAGAAAATCAGTGTCATCTTAATGGTTTGACTGTGGAGTTGTTTTGGTTGATCAATTACTTGATATTCAGAATCCCTTCAAAAATGTGTCTGCCACAAAACACTAAATACATTTTCTTTTCTTTTTTGGTGGTTCCCACTGGTCCTCCTCATATTGTTGGTGGTTGTAATTTTAGAATAGCATGTGCAGCTCATGTATATTAAAAGTATGGATGTGTTTAATGAACTTCAGTAACTACTCTGGTTACAGCTATCCTTGGTGATATACATGGAGAAAAGGCTTCCTTTTATTAAACATACAGTAGAAATGTAGTTTCAAAAAAGTTTATTACAAGGTTTCAGCATCAATTTTATCATGTGCCTTTTTAATCTGATTTATTTTATTTTGAAAAAAAAGTGTGCTATTAGTACGAATATGAGGATTAATTTGTAGATTGGTCTATTTGATGTGATGAATTTGTGCTTAGATTTAATACGTACTCCCGTCTTTGATCATTCTTGGTGAATTTCACAACCATGAATCTAAACGAACTGGTTCGAACCTCTGCTTTCATCACTTTATATTTCTGATCTCAAGCAGTTCACCTTAAAGTTGAAAAGACTTCCAGTAGGCTTGTTTTGAGTATAATGTAAGATTTAAATTGAATGTTATTGTTATGGAGTTACTCACTGAGTTACTCACAGGGTCATTTACTGCATTGCTCCTCCCAGAGCTGCAGATGGCAATTCTGTGACTTGAGTTGTAGTTCCACATTGAACTAATACTCATGTATAAAATGTGTGGGCTGTCCATTCAATCCCAATTTTGCATAATGTCAACGGTTCAAGGTTCTGCTATACCTTTCTCCATTTCATGTTTTGGCAGTTGGCCACTGGAGACATTTTAAATACTAATGAACTTATAGCACATGCAGCATTTGCTTAATTAAGTCCAAGATTAGAAGACTTAATGAAAGAAGAATACTAATTAGGCTACTAAATTACACATAATTCAAATAAATACATTTGGATATGGATGGATGAATGTATGAATAGATAGATAGATCGATGGATTTCTAATTATTATTTTTATTATGATTATTTAGATTTATGATTTACTGCTGCAGAGGAAGCTGCTGATTCACTTTTAATTGCTTTTCCTAACACTACTGCGTTTTCAGCAGCTACTAGACATTATTGAACTATTAAATAAGTCTGTACTCTTAAAACTGGCAACCGTGCAGGCTGTAATCAGAGGGCAGTGCTTTCTCTTTAATCACCAGAGGTCACACTCGAATGAATGCGCCTCAACAAAAAAAAAAAAAGTTACAGCCGGATTTAGTATTTATAAGTGCTTAAATCTCGGTGTTGTCTCAGTTCAGTGTCACTTTCTGGTTTTGCTCTGTGTTAAACGAGATTATGGGATTGACGGGATAGGGGATGATTCGCACCCCCTCCAACCACCAGCAGCACGATGAGAGCATATAACGCATATAGCCTGGTGTTTGTCGGATGGGATGCAGCAGCAGCAGCAGCAGCAGCATCATCCTCTCAGAGTCACTGCTTCAGTCTGCACAGGCGGCCAGAGGATGCTGATGTGCAGGATGCTGCCGGAACCAGCCCGTCACTGCAAAACGAGCCGTGCGATGTTTCTGCAGGAATGAGTCTGAATCCCGCTGCTGCGGTTTAGAAACAACACTATTTATGAGGGAAACTCACCTTTGTTGCATCAATTTCAACTTGACACCGGAGCATGGGAGTCGTCTGCACGGACCCGCGTCCACACCGGCTGCAGAAGTTGGACAGACAAACATTTGTAATGCCGTGAATGTGGACTTTGGAGAAGATTTACAGCGCAGTGCAGAAAAAAAGAGCAAATAGGCGGACCCGGGCTTTTATGTGCAGATTATGTGTCTCTGGATATTTCATGAACATGATGCACTTAAATAAAATGCACCTTTAATGTGTCTTGAGGCATGGAGGGGTATTGATCCACAGGAGAAATGCGCGCTTCTGATTCACAGTAATGGAATGAAGACACTCTCCTCGATACAATGGATGATAGATCCAGTAAGCTCATGTTGGTTCCTATCCTGGCGGTGCTGTTTGTTATGATTGGTTACCAGTACATATGTCCCGCAGGCAGCAATTCGTGCCACTTCAAGACCGGGGAGAAGCTGAAGGGGGTGAGCCTGCTCTCCAGCCAGGACCAGGACACGGATGATTTCTACAGGGACCAGGACCTGGAGGACGACAGCCCCGCGAAGCTGCCCTCCAAATTCAACTTCACCGAGCGGGACCTGGACAGACACGTGGAGTTCAACATTAAAGGGGACGACGTGATCGCGTTCCTGCACATCCAGAAGACCGGGGGCACCACTTTCGGGAGGCACCTGGTGAGGAATATTCGCCTGGAGCAGCCGTGCGACTGCAAGCCGGGCCAGAAGAAGTGCACATGTCACCGGCCGGGCAGAGACGAGTCCTGGCTCTTCTCCCGCTTCTCCACCGGCTGGAGCTGCGGGCTGCACGCAGACTGGACCGAGCTAACGAACTGTGTGCCCGTCATTATGGATAAGAAGGAGGCCCAGAGGAACAAGAGGTACAGTGTGTGTGTGTGTGTGTGGTCCAGGTACTATTCATGATGAGCAAATCTGTTTAAACCATTAAATATTAAGGTGAAGACATGTTACCCCAAGGTTAAGGTTAGGTTAAGTGTTTTTGACAAGTAGTAAGGTTAGAATAAGTGTGTGTGTGTGTGGTCCAGGTATTATTCACGTTGAGTAAATCTCTTTAAACAGCAGCATTGTGGGGACTTGTCTTCCCTACCAGGACAAAAAGAGAGTCCCCATAATGTAAACCATTAAATGTTAGGGCGAAGACAGGTGTTAAGGTTAGGTTTAGGTCGAGGTTAGGTTTCCGTAACTATACCTTAACCTTAACTATACTATGTATAGTTCAGGTTTGAGTAAGTCTCCAGAAAATCAATGCAAGTCATGGTAATGTCCTCTAAAGTCACAGAGACATGACTGTGTGTGTGTGTAAGAGTGAGTGAAAAGACATAAGCTACAAAACTTCCACTCTGGTCCCCACACTGTACCACCAGGTTCACAGATCTGTAACACTCCAAAGGGCCCCTTGATCCATTCCACATTTTGACCCTGTTCAGACGAGGACACTGCAAAGTACATCTGTTCACACCTGGCCTAAAATGCTTCCTTAACCTCTAATCCAGGCTCCTGTCTTGAACCTTGAAGTGATGGAACATGGCACAGGATGGGTGCTCACTCACAATCTCCACCTGAAGAGATATATTGTAGTTATGTCAGGAAGTGTGGAACAATAGAGCCACAACTTTCTATCAGTGACTATAGTTTGCACCAATCACCCAGCAGTCAGATTCTTTACATTTGCATTATATTGTGCATCACCCAATGTTAGAAAATACCAACACAGCATTCAGGAAAACCTTTTCTTTGCTCGACCATCATATAAATCACCCGCGTTTGTCCTTTGTGCTCACATCAGCCCTTCACACACAGTGAACTTGTTCCTGCCCAGCTGCTGCTGTTATCCCCCCTGACTGTGTCATTTACCAATAGTTCAGAGCCATTTACAGAACTCACCTTTCATAGAAGAAATGACACGGTTCAACTGTTCCACAACACTGTGGTGATTCATTGTCGCTGGATCAAAGCTCTAATTGCAGCTACTGAAAATGGCCAGAAAATATTGTAGTCACTACTATCGCACCACATTAAGGCTTGATATTTGATGCTGCATCATCTCAGGAGTTCAAATGATTGCAAGAAGATGAAGTTATCGGAGAGGAAAAGCCAAGAACCACTTCATGTGTAATGCATTTGCTGTTTCTCAGCAGTGATTGCAGATGGAAATACATTTCATTGAATGCATTGTATACAGCAGAGTGGATGTATGTATTTTTCAACGCAGTGAATGTTTTTGGAGTCCCTGACTTTTTAACAGCATCTGTCTTTTAATCCAAAAGTTAAACATCTAGTCGGTTATAAATCCTCAAAGATTCTCTCACAAGTAAACAGATATATCCCAGGCACACGCTGCATTTTTGAACAACGGACAATTTCCTTCTCTGTTTGGAAAAATACAATTGCACGCTGAAGTACAAGAGCACATGATTTATTTCTGCTGTGCCAAGTGTTTCCTTTACTCTGGAAAGTGCTCACTGGATGTGACAGCTCTTCATTTCACAGCTGCAGCATCTATTCTGCACTTACCGTCCCCTCGCCCCTTGTTCTTTAGTGGGCTCCCGCTGCATCTATTCTGAGATGATTCTGCCTCGACCATGACGTGTTGGCAGACGCACCCCGTTAGACCCCTCTCTAAGCATCCACTGCACGCGGCACATTTCCTAAGTGGGATGACTAAAAGCATTATGCAAATTTCATCTTCATCATCATTTTGTGTATAAGCAATGCCTTAATTAAAAAATACTTAATGATATCAGGCCAAAGTTAAAAAAAAAGGGTCTCTTACTCCCTTGCACGGCAAAATACATAATTTGTAATGAAAACTAAAATAATCCACTTGCTAGGAAAATCTTTATACCACCTAAGGGTGCAATGGGGAATACCAATCATACATCACTGCCAAATTCAGATGGCATGCCCTTGTTATCTGGTTGAAAGGCTCTCAGATTGAGTGGCTGTCTTTTCTGCAGTCTCAGCCATTCACCTTGCCAGCTTCTGAGGTGGCACCAAGAGGTGGAGGTGGGGCGAGGCGGGCTGCGATGGCTGTGCCTGCATGGCGCTGTATGGCCTTTTCAGCCGGGCAGGGAGCGCAGCACAACCAGCCGTGCAGAAAGGTCAGCCGCGTCAGCCCGGATCAGTGTGTGTGTCCTGCAGTGTGGTTCCTCTGGAGTGTGCTGTCAGTCAGTGAGCGGGAGAAGTGGGGCAGGTATAGGCCGGATTTCTTCAGGGCTGTTTTTTGGAGAAACTAAGTGGTGGACTGAAGTTGCTCTCTGTGTGGGTTCAGCCTTGTTCAGTTGAATGAATGAGGCTTGCTGAGCAGTTTGTCTACCAGGTTATTTCAGAACAGAAATAATTTCTGATTGTTGCATATTTATTATCCAAGTGCTTGGTTTGGAGTAAGTCAGGTACTTACATTTGGAAGTATTCAGATACATTCACTTTTTTCATGTTTTTTTGTAGCCACACTGAAAAAAAAAATCCCTCACCAATTTACATTCATTATTCCATTGACGCAGTCCTGTCTGTGAGCTCTGCAGCAGTTCATTTAACATTATAGCTTGCTCTGATATGCATGGTCATCTGTGAGATGTGAGATACACATGTGGGACTTTTTAATATTTCCCAATCAACTGACTCTAACACAGGTGGACTCCAGTCAACGTGTAGAAACCTCAAGTGTCATAGCAACGGCTCTGAATACTTATGTCTCCAACTTTGGTACTTCTACATATACACCAATAATCCAACCATTGATGTTATTTAGAATAAGGCATTATTTTGGTTATGGTCTTTACATGAGTTGCTGGAATATTCTATTCATGTTCCCGTTAACATGTTAAATAGCACATACATGTCTAAAATGTAACTAAGATGGGAAAACATGTCTTAATTTATTGCTCCTTATTCCAAGTATGATCTTATTCAGGTTAAGGTAATCAGAAAATGCTGTTTAGAGTTGGGTTCCGACTATTGTCTTAATTGGGTCAATATTGGAATATTGTGTCCATATAAATGTAGTCGAGGATATTTCAGCTTTTCTTTTTAAATAACTAAATGTCAAAAATTCTGTTTTGCTTTAAGGCTGGAATAAAAAATGAGTAAAGGGGTCTGCATAGTTTCCAAATGCACTTTATTCAGTATGACACCAGATCACAAAACAAGGAGCTGATTTTCAAAATGCGCTTTTTTACCAATGCATAAAGCAAGGTCTGAGTAAACCATGTGTTCTGAAGAGTTTTTGCATGTTTCGTAAAAGGTTGCAGGTCAATATCAGAGAAACATTTGATGTTGCCTTCTATTGAATTGAGAGCAAGCTTATTCAGTCTCTGCAAAATTCCATTCTTTTACCATCAGAATAGATCTCTGAGATTAGAAAAAAAAAAAAAAACAGCATCACAGGTTTATAGTTGCAGCTGCAGGTCTGAGGTGAGGAAATGTGATTATCAAAGATACAGCCTGAAGTCTCTAGTGTAGCATACAACATATACCTTGAATAAATCAGCTGTAAATATCTTTATTATCATCTAAGTTTAATGACCTCAGAATTGTATATGAGCAAATATCAACCACATTCATTTTAAATGTCCACTGTAGATGAAAGGCAATACTAGTATTTGCTTATCTCACAGTTCTGTCAAACTCTCCCATCTGATCATGATTTAAAAAAACAAATTAAGATATTTCTTCATTTTGACACCATTACTAACAGTCATGTCGCAGCTTCAAGGTCATTGGACCACACACACACATTCATGCATGAATGTCACCATTCATACAAAAATCACAGCGGGTGATAGGAACTCAGCCCAGGAGGAGCCCAGCGCTGTCAAACAGGTAGTTCACTGATGTAGTGAAGCTACTTTAATAAAATAAATGAAGAAGAACAGGTTTATAAGCAGACAACAGGTAACTCGAAGCAGGTAGCAGGCAAGGTAACCAAGCAACACATGGTGAAAACACACAATGTCAGGAAGTGTCGTGCACTGAAAGGAGAAACATTTTGCCGCAGGATTATGACATATAACAACGATAGGTGTATAACATATCTGAATAAAATTGGAATAAAAACAATAAGAAAGATTGTAAAAATGTGATGATAAAACCAATAAAATAGATACAAATAGATTAAAAAACCTTGGTACTTAACATATTTGAATAAAACTGAATAAATCAAACAATTTAAAAGTATAAATATATATAATATACTTTTCAATAACAAATATAGTGAGTGGTGTGCAGCAGTGTTTGCACAGTGCACACCTTTTCATTTTTGAGCTAGTAATTACAAACAAGCAAATTATTTTCTGCCTACATTTCAGTTTATAAAGAAATTTTTTTCAATATGTGGCATTGAAAATGTGAATTTGGTTTGAAAATACAAACAACAGAAACCTCAATACATGTAGAGACACCAAATCAACAATTGATTTATTTTTTTATAGTTGTTTTCAGAAGCAACCCGATCTGTTTTATTGTATCCTGTCTCATCCATTGCCTACTTATTTAGCAGGTGCATCAATTTATGATTTATTTAGACCATAAACATCCACACGGAGGATGTGGACAATATTCAGAGCAGCTGAATCAATATACATACGTTTAAATTCCTCATTGGACAGTCCTGCTTGTCCCTCTTTTCAGTTCATCTTAGTTCCCTCCCTTTTAACTGTGGCCTCATGGTAATTCAAGACACATGCTGATGTTGCAGTTTTTATCAATTATAAAATCTTCATTAGCAACGTTCTTGTTGCTTATGCATAATGAATGCTCGGTTCAGAAGTACAAAGAGAACTAAGCCAGAACACGAGTCAAATACGGACACTCGATGCCCCTCTTTGATGAAACACAGAGCGAGAGATGTGCCTATTTAGCA